ACAGTTAGGGCAGAGATGGCTTTTTGAGGAAAGTTCCTAAGAAATACTACACGCTTGGTACATCTACACAAGACAAAGACACTTTAGTGTGCAGCAGACAAATTTGCTGCACAGTACAGCATCACCTTCTACACATGCGTGGCAATTAGGGCACAGTAGACTAATTTACTGCACTGCCAGATAGTCCCATCAGATACAAGTGGTATCTGACAGTGCAGTAAATTACTGCACTTGAACACACATGTAGACGGTGACATTAGGATTAGTTTACTCCAGCTCAAATTGATCCAGTTGTATTAACTTGTACAGTGCCCACTGTTTAGCAGCTTCAAGGAATTAAAACGGAGCATTTTTAATACATGTGAATTACCTGTAAGATTTCTTCAGGCCCTTTTAGCTCAAAATCAGTTTGTTAATGCTGAAGGCATCCACTTTCCATAACCTTCATTAAAAGCCATAGAAAGCACTGCTGACAGCTGAAGAACCCAGACTGCAATTATACAATGTTCTTTGCAGTTCTCATGGGCTTATTTAGAGCATTTCAGATTTTAGGCAAGAAATATTTTTGGTGATATTTTTTACTGGACCAGCTGTATAGTTGGGAGAGATGTTACACGAGCTTTCGGATACAAAGTGCTCTTCCTCAAATCTAGGTAAGAAGCAACTGCAGCCTAAACTAAATACCAGATAACAAAATGTGTTGTGTTTCATGCCATATACAAAAGAAAACAAGTACTTGAATGGATGAGGGTTGTAAACTAAGAGAAATTATCAGAAGTAGCTTCAAAGCCAGCAACATGTATTTGAATAGATAATTATGCAAAAGAAGAAGGCCAATCAGAAGGGAGAAGGATCATTATTACCAGTGAAGTGCTGATAGGTTAGAAGAGATTACAACAAGCCTTGAAACCATCATCTATGCTTAGTCTATGCATCCAGTAAAGTTATGAATTTTTGTTCCCAGGCCCCTCTTCTGTAGGTAATTTGTCTATTTCCCTTGAGTATAAGGACTCTGTGGGCAAAAACTGAATGATTGTTTTGTAAAAAATGTTCTATAGATGACTGGATTTCTCCATCCTTTATCATCTGTGATTGCTCATGCTGGAGTGCAATGGTTGTTTACTCCCCTCCAATTTCTGTGAGGGCATGGGTAATTGTGGGTAAAACCACTGACGGGGGCCAAGTTTCTACTATGCCAAACTGCGAAGTGTCCAGTCAGCAGGACATGCTTTACACTGATGCATTTTAAGCAGCCCTTTTCAGCTCCACTAAGCAGCTGTGCAGCCAAAGCACAAAGTGCGCTCTGGGAAGGCACCGGTTGTTGAATGCACTACCGGCGGCACTGGCTGAAGATGTGGGAGCATCTTCCTCCATCTTCAGCCATGTGCCAGATGATGGCAAAAGCCTTATTCTTCTCAACAGAGGTGAAGTAGCTCTGCTGGCAGAGTGGAGTGTCCAGGCACCTCACTGGGGCTTTGAGCATCAACACATGCGCAGTTCTGCTGCAGAGCTTAGCTTAGTAGCCCAGGGCCTGTATGTGCCTGTCACTTTGAGAAACAGACACATAGGCCACCTAGGCAGCCTCCCTGCTCAGCTGGTAAATGACAGTCTAACAGAAGTAGTTCAGAGTTGTTTGCAGTGAGGGAGGCTAAAACTCCTGAGCTGTGTTGGAGTCTCTCCTGGGAAGCACCCCAGGCTATAAACACACCAGGACTTAGCGGGCATGTATGAATTGTGCATTACATTGCTGAAAGTAGCCTGCAAGTACATGTCATCACAGTGAGTGCTGGATCCGAGCCCTACAGCACCTGCCTTTATGATTTGTACGCATTGTTCTTGCTGAGTTAACTTTAAAAACAGCATGAAAGACCCAGTGCAAAGGAAGCCTCCCAACTCACCAGAGATCTGTGCTGAACAGAGATAGAGTTAAGCACATACCTAACTGCAGTGCTGAATAAGGTCCTACAGGACGTGCTGCCAAAATACGTTCCACCCTTTCCTCTTCTCATTTCCCTGTTCTTCCTCGTGTGTTTGTGAGCTCCAGTCCCTTTCTTTAGCATTTACTTATTTGTTGGTGACTTTCCAGGCATGCTGCAAAAGACATCTATTTGAGAGGCTATTTTTGGAGAGGGGGTTCCAGTGGTGCTTCCTAAATGCTGAAGTGGTTGGTCTCTCTTCCAGGTTACACAAGCATGAGAATAGGTTTCTGCCTGATACCGCTCCAGGTTTTCATGTGGATTAAAGAATGCTTTAGTATTACTAGTTCTTTTCCTAATTTTAGGGCAAGTGGTAATGTCTGGGGAGGGAGTCTCAGAAAATCAGGGATCCTAGTTCCATCATAGACCTCCAATGCAATCCTTGCTTGGGGCATTATTTTAGGGCTAGACCTGACTTCAAGATGCCTGTTCCCCTGTCCTCCCTGCCCCAAGCAGAATCCATCCCCTGTGCTAAGCACCCAGGCTGCTTATGTAACGAACAGAACCAGCTAACGTCCAAACGTTAGGCATGCAGCCCCTGCAAGAGCAAGCCAAACGAAAACATTTGAGGACAGGGATGCTTCTGAAACTCTGAATTAAATACAGAAGCAGGAAAGGGGCAATCACACTCTAATGTAAAATGCAGAAAGTCTTAGGGAGAGGTCAGAACCCAGGACTCCCCTTTCCTAGGACAGAGCTCTTACCATTAGTTCACACCACAGAATCATGCTTGCACTTGTTCTCTCTCTGACCAAATGAATCTCTAATTCTTCTCTGTGCGGTGGCCCAGTTTCAATAGTAGGAGTGAAGAGGGCCTCCCGCTTGTGACTTGTTTCATGGTGGCTCGGGAATTGTGCTGCGTGGCAGAAGACATGCTTTGGAGCCCATTAAGGCTGGGGAGGAAACTAAGCGTGGGTCTTCTACTTCCTGAAATGGAAACTAGCTTTAATTGTTAGTCTGGTGCCTATTCCTAGCAATAGCCTTCTATTGCTATAGAAGGTGGCTGCCCTGCCCTGTGTCTGACAAGACAGTGGCCTCCACTACATTTTGTACAGGGCCTGATGCTGCCAGTGTGCGTTTAGCATGTTCCAACAATGCCTCAAGATAGTTAAAGTGAAGGAACGCCTAATTTCTGGATCCTAATAATAATCAGTGACATGAATCAAGTGCTGAGCCTTGTCAAGATCGAGGCTGTTTTGTACAAGCATGGATGAACAAGTCTGCACAACCAGGGCACTTTGAATTCAAAGACAAGTGTCTGTGATGTTTAGACAGCAGCAGAGCAGGGGGTTTTTAGTCCAGTGTTGGATTTAGGAACCTCCATTCGACCTAGATCCTTTAATCGGATCTGGCTCTCAATCCCACTAAACCTTGGTTTCTCATCTGCAAATAGGAATCATACTATTTGTTTTATATCAGGTAACTGTTGGGAAGATAACTTCAGTTATGGACACATGCAACTGTCTAGCAGTAAAACAATATGGCAGGAAGGCAGCAAAAGGCTTTAACTATGCTGAGAGCCCAGTATTTGATGGAAAGCCTCTGCTCAATTTCCACTAGCAGCCAGCCTTGCATAGCCTGGCACTCATGACAGCCTTGTTTCCCGTAAGTCCAGGTCTCTCGAACATTTTTCCCATTCCCGTCATGCCAAGTGCTCAGTTATTAATATGACAGGGGACAGAGAAATGGATAGATAACATCTGACAGGAGAATTTCATCCTGAGGCTTTACTAAGATTTTGGCTTTCAGCATGATCAGCCCCAGGCACCCAGAAATTCGCAGTCCCAAAAAGTAATGTGATTGGTCTAAAATCATGGGATTAAACAAATAAATATATATTCTGATTTCACTGAGCTGTTAAGTGTCATGTTTAAAAACCCTTCTCTGTATTCTGAGATACTGAAACTCAGTTTAAAAGAATCTTATAACCCTATGACTCTAGGAGCTAGTTCTTTAAGAAGGCACACCAAGTACTTTTAGATAGATAAAATTGTTAAAACTTGAAACACTAAATTTAACCAAAGGAAAAATCCAACACAGGGTTGGGAGAAGGTCCTATTGCTCTTGCTTTGTGAAAGTTTGTTTTGGCAAAAGGCAAATCTTTAACACAGGGTTGGCAG